ACGATGAGAATAAGAAACAAAAACTAGAATTGGCCAAGAAAATGCAGGTTATCTAATTTAATATTAATTAAAATTATTGAATTATCTTAGCTCTTATTAGCCTGTTCTTTTGTTGGGAATTTACTGCTTGCACTCTTCTTCTCATTTCAGAGGTGGTAATATTGAGACAATGCTAATGCACTCTGTGAATAGCTTATGTATATATCTGAGCTCCAATTGGGATCCAATATTGTTTGAAGCTAGTAGGTCATAGTTATGATCATGAGGACATGTCCACTAATAAGATACATAATTGTCCTATATATGTTGTACACAACATGCGGACATGCAATGACTTATAGAAAATACACACGATATGCACATGTATATTATGACACGGCTTCAATAGAAGTGTCCATGCACCAATACGCTCAATATTTCTGAGAAATACATGAATGACCATGAGCAAGGCAACGTGATGGTTAACTAGTGTTTTTTGTTACATCACAAAATTGGAAAGATGTAATAGAAACTATGCTCCACATAGCTAGAAGTTTGATGATCATTCCTATTATTTGACAGTACCCTGTAATGCACACATGTAGAGAATAACTTCAATCAAATTGGAGGTTTACAAGTAGCTGACTGAGATTTTGAACCATACATGCTTCCTACACTTGAACCCGCTCTGAAATGTTAGATCAACTTCACTAATATGATCGCTCCGCGTATCGATTAGAAAGTACAGTCAAACTTTTCATCTATTTAATGGTTATGCAAGCTCTGGTATCCTATTTGTTGCCCCCATAAAATGGTAGAGGAAGGCAAGTACTGCAAGAAAAATGGTAACCACAAACAATATCAATAAATAATGACAGTAAAAAACCTCGTGCATATGACATTAAAAAATCTGGGCATAATCATAAGCATTCTTACTGTGCAGCTTAATATCATACAGATGCAGCATTATTACTTAATATTATTTAATTATCTTAGCTCTTATTAGCATGTTCTTGTGTTGGGAATTTACTGTTTGTACTCTTCTTCTCATTTCAGACTGTCCCAAAAATTTGAAATGACATACATTCCAAATATAATCCAATTTTTTAAATTGAACTTCTAATATTACTTAATATCTTAGCTCTTATTAGCCTGCTCTTAAATTCATTGTTTTGTCTTTTAGGAAGCTCTGGAAAACACATATGCTGAGGTTGTTGCACAGAGCCAGGAGCCCCTGACTAGAGAGCATAATTATAATGTGAGCCATTTAGTTTGTGGACTTCCCAAAAAAGAGAGGACCAGGTGGATGGGAGTTGGAGCTCAGAGGGTGTGTACCCCATTCTAGCCTTCGTCGATTTCAACACCATCGACTATGCCCTCGGGGCCCTCTTACATGCCGCAAGAGGATTGCACTCAGCAGGCGATGCAGCTTGTTTCCTCTGTGATGAATCTATTAGATGGTCAGATTCCCGAGGAGATGTGGGAGGATATTCAAGAGGAGCTTATGCAAGTGATCCATCCTACTGCTACTTTTGCGATGGTTTCCCGGCAAATAATGAAATCTTGTAGAAGGCGGGTTCCTACTCGGGTGCAAAGCCAGATTATGAACTTTTTGGCCTCTAAAAAGGCATTTACTAGTAGTGGAGAGAGTAGCAGACATGTATACATATTATATATGTAAAATATGATTACACACAATATTATTTGATTCTAAATTTAAATTATTTTGTTGTTAGAGTGGAAATGATGCTATTGGGAGCACGAGTCGTGGGGGGGGAGCCGCCAGTGGCAACGCAGACGATGTCATGGATAGGGCGAATGATCTATCTTAGTGAGTTATATCCTAAACTCGTGTTTGTATATTGGACATCTTTATATTGAAGATATATGCTTGTATGGTTTGTTGTGCAAATTTTTGTGGATTTAGAACGTATCGTGAAAATTGAATGAATGCGAAATGTTTGTGAAATTTGGATTGTACGTATTTCGAATGTTTGTGAAAATTATTCTGTTGCAAGATATTTGTGAAATTTGGATTGTACATATTTTGAATATTTGTGAAACTTGAATGGATGCGAGATGTTTGTGAAATTTGGAATGTTTGTGAATATTTGTGAAACTTGGAATGTTTGTGAAATTTGTATGTACAGGGAATATTTGTATGTACAGGGAATTGATTGTGTAATCAGTAATATTTTTTTTAGCTGATAATAAGCATCGCTGACGGGAAAACCGTCAGCGACGTTCAACACTGACGGATTTGCCGTCAGTGATGGTAAAAACATCGCTGACAGCACGCCGTCGGCGATATTTATCGCTGACGGCATGCCGTCAGAGATACATATCGCCGACGATGAAATTAACATCGCCGACGGCACGCCGTCGGCGATATTTATCGCTGACGGCTAGCCGTCAGAGATACATATCGCCGACGGCGTGCCATCGGCGATGTTAATTTAGTAGTTGACGAATAGTCGTCAGCGATAAAGATCGCTGACGGCTAACCCGTCAGCGATGTGTAAAGTATCGCTAACGGGAATGCCGTCAGCGATGTCCCATTATCACTGACTGCTTCTGCCGTCAACGTATTGCCGTCAGTAAAATACATTACTGACGGCTCCCCATCAGTAATAACTCTTTTCTGACGGGACTATTGTTGACGGCTTATCCTTAACGGCCGACGGTCAAGGATAAATATCGCCGACGGGAAATTAGGCATTCTTGACAGGATTCCCCGTCAAGGATACCTGGTTTTCCACTAGTGACCCTAGTTCCCCTTGGTTCACCCCCTAATGGTATAAAATTTGTTACCCCCCAAATTGGGGTGTAACTAAGGGGAAGAGAACTTCCTTCTCTTCCCTTCCATTCTCTCACCTAGTTTCCCTTAACTTCCCTTAACCCCATTGAAATCCAAACACACCATTAAGCAATTGGTGCTCTTAGGCTCTTTGAGTGATGATGTGTGTGATAGATTCTTAGAGCTCTTGAGTTATCAATATTCTCATGGTTCCTTGAGAGATGTAGAATGTGCGAGGGTTTTTAAGTTTATCCACGCAAAACTTATATCACTTGTATTGACTATATTGATTTGTGAAGATAGTGGATTGTCTTAGTGAGGAAACCATGGATGTAGGCATGTTCAGCCAAACTTCGCAAAAACTCATTGGGTTATTTTGGTGCTTGCACTCTCTTCTTGCTACGTGGTGCTTGTTTGCTCCAATAATCACCAATAGTGATATGAGAGCTAAGATTGTGTCGGAGTTTAAGAAAAGGGTGGAGCACAGTAAAGGGAGCAATATGTCAAGCATGAAGGAAGGGTCATTTGCAACGCTATTATCCAAAATTGAAGGATGAAGATATCATTGCATGAAGCATTTGCAGCCTTAGAAGTGCTGACCTTGATGGAGATGGCTAACAGTGAGAAAAAGCTCCAAGCATGCTATGGTGAGCAGACAATGCGTGTGAGGAAGAGACTGGCAAGTCATGCAATAGATAGCATTGTAGCAAGGGATTGCATTGAGGAGAGAACATGCGAAATGATAGGCCAGTGACATGATGATGGCAAGAGGTTACAGATGGTGGTGTGGTGACCCCTGAAGACCAGCTGCGGTGATTGGTAACAGAGGGCAATCGTAGGGTAGTTCACCAATTCTGGAGGAGGAGCGATGATCAATAGAGAAGTGATGATGAGCAACAGTGCATAGTCAGTATTAGCGATAGTTGATGACATTGAGGTGTTCGATGTTTAGTTTGAGAAATGATATGTTATAATTCTCCTCAAATCTCAAAATGAAGTAGATGAATGCTTGTGGGCCATGGAAGTTTGAAGGGTGCATTGCCTTGGAAGCTTGAAAATTTCTCTTAGAGATCACCAAGAGTATAAATTGGTCATTAAAAATAGTAAAGGAGAAAGGCTATAAAAAGAGATGTGTTAGTGTTGAGAAAGTCATCCTCTTGGTGAGAGGGATAATTTTCTTAAACCTCTTGAACGATTGATGTTCTCGGGTTCTTTGAGTGATATTGCATGTGATGGCTTCTTGGAGCTCTTGAGTAATCAATGTTCTCAGATTCCTTGAGAGATGTAAGATGTGTAAGGTTTACATGTTTATCTATGTAAAACTTGTATAACTTGTATTGATTGTATTAGTTTATGAAAATAGTGGACTATCCTAGTGTGGGAACCATGAATGTAGACATTTTTAGCGGCAAAATGGCTAGATTGGTATATTTTTTAGAGGCTTGGTGACATGTTGATATATTTTCTTTTAGTTTTGTCAGATTAGTATAAATTTTTAACTTCGGCGCCATATAGGCCTTAAATTTGGCCGGAGTTACTATTCCGACCAGGGCTGATGGATTTTTTTGCAAAAAACCCCCTCATCAAATACAATTTCCTGCTCCTAAACCCCCCCTTCTCCCTCCTCCTCATCCTCTTCAACCTCCCCCTCTCCCTCCTCCTCATCCTCTTCCTCCTCCTCATCCTCTTCAACCTCCCCCGCGAAGTCAGCTCCCGCGAAGTCAGCTCCTCGCCGCCGGCAAAGACCATCAATCCCTCGGTTAGGAGCAGAAAATTATGAATTCGTTACTATATTCACGAAAAAAGCGTAAACTTCAGGTCCCACAATCCAAAAAATATGCATGTGCCAAGTTTTTTTTAACAAAAACGTCTTGAGAATTGATATACGGAAACCAATAACCAAATCAAATCTGACCATTTGTATTTCAGCAACATAACACATTATAGTTTCGTAATTTAATGATGCAAATGCACATACCTGTTTGTACTAGGCAAATGCAAAATTCAATGTCTTCAGAGCAAACTTTATGTTATCATAATTTAAATATGCAAATGCTGGCACAAGCTTTGGCACCAGATGGAAATCAAAATTGATAACCTTGAAAGACAAAGTGGTTACTCAAGCGAAGTGATTAGTGCAGTTTCAGGAATACTAGTGTTAAAACAAGAAACAAATTTAGCAGGCGTTAGCTAGCTATGTCACAGTAGCAAATCTCGTAACAATTAGGATGAAACAAAATCATGAACATACATTTTCTACGAGCTCCAATGCCAGGTCCTTCGGAGTATCACCATCAGCATAAATTATTGAACCAATCAGATTGTTGAATTTGTCCACACCCTCCAATACAATACGGACCTAGAAATCCAAAAAGAAAAGCTAAGATGAGAAGAAAAAGAGGAAGATAGTCAACGCAGCTTAGAACTGAGGACGTACACTTACATCTCTGTTTAAAACCCGAATCTCTGTGAAGTGTTTAGCTTCTCTCCCAAATGGATCAGGTGAAACTTCAGTAAATACCGCTGAAGAGGCAGCAAGCCTTTGTGCTGATGTCAACGGTGCCCGAGCATCAGCGGAAGATTCACCGTTTGCATCATCAGTAGCTACATCAGGTTCTGGAATTGTTTCAATCACAGCTCTCCTGCCCATCGATGGAGCCTAAGGGCCTGTTCGTTTGGCCAAAAAAACTGGGAAATCAAACTTTAGGAAACCTATTTTCTATTATAATTACTTTGAAGTTGTTTGGTTGGTTTAAAAAAAAAGGAAATTATAGAATAGGAGATGAGTTGTCACCTTATTATTGGATGATGTGAGTGATTTTTTTAAAAACTTGTTTTGAGGTTGTTTGGTTGGTTAAAAAAATAAGGAAATGAATTGGAGGTATATTATTGGATGATGTTTTGAGGTTGTTTGTGTTTGGTTCGTTTTTAAAAATAAGAAAATAGATGAGATGAGATGAGTTGGAGGTATATTATTGGATGATGTGACACATACTTAAGGATTTATTGATTTCCTTGTACCGATTTCCTTTTCTTGGTTTTTAGGAAACCAACCAAACAGCCCCTAAGTTTAAGACCAAGAGAATATCCATCAGTTACAACAGCTCAATACAATATAGAACATACAATTTTTAAGGAAAATTTGCCCACCAAAACAATACCTGGATTAATTCCTGCAACAAAAACTTGAACAAATTGAAAACCCGGATGCAGATAGACTCGAAGTGTACTGCCATCATGAACTTGTTCAACAATGGCTTTCATTGGTTTTCCCCTGTTTGCATCTAAGAAGGCTTGTGCATCAAAATTATTAGGGTCACCGATGGCTGAAGGGGGAAGGTCTCTTATAGATTCATCAGTTTCCTGCATTGATTTTCAATGCCAAAACCGAGGGACTGATGGTCTTCGCCAGCGGCGAGGAGCTGACTTCGCGGGAGCTGACTTCGCGGGGGAGATTGAAGAGGAGGAGGAGGAGGAGGAGGAGGGAGAGGGGGAGGTTGAAGAGGATGAGGATGAGGGGGGGGGATTTGTATTTGATTAAGGGTTTTTTTGTAAAAAATCCCATCAGCTCTGGCCGGAACAGTAACTCCAGCCAAATTTAAGGCATATATGGCGCCGGAGTTGAAAATTTATACCAATCTGACAAAACTAAAAGAAAATATACCAACATGTCACCAAGCCTCTAAAAAATATACCAATCTAGCCATTTTGCCCATTTTTAGCCAAACCTCATAAAAACTCTTTGTGTTGCGTTGGTGCCTAAACTCCTTATTGTATGTGTTAGTCAACAATTGAGGCTGGCACTTTCGGTGGCCTCCGTTGTTGACATCAAGAGAGAGGGGAGAGGTTGTCTCTTTCGTTGAGGCTAGCCAAAATTGTTGACAAGTGCCAGAGCACTCTTGTTGACATTGGGGAGCAAGAGCCGCAATTACGGCTGATGAGGGAGACGGGGAGCCTGTCGTTGTTGACAAATTGAAGGGATTGAAGCCTATAAAAGCCCCCCTCTCTTCCTCGGTTGAATGCACTCAAAAACTCTAAGAAATCCAGCAGAGAGTGAGTGAGAGCAAAAACAAAAGAGAGTCTGCTAAAATTTTGTATGTACGTTGTATTTGAGAGATTGAATATAGTGAAAGCCCCCTCTTGCCGTGGACGTAGATCAATTTGATCGAACCACGTAAATATTATGTTTGTGGTTGTCTCTCTATTCTCTGGTTTAGTGGGTAATTTTCCAACAAACTGGTATCAGAGCTTCTCGGTTCTAGGACAGCTTTCAATCCTCTACAATGGCTTCCGTAAAGTTCTCGGTGTCGATCTTTGATGGCCAGAACAATTTCGGCCTATGGAGGATAAAGATGAAGGCTTTGTTGCGACGTGAAGGCATGGTTAAAGCTATCGACAGGAAATACCCATAAGATATGACTAGTGCCGAGATCGAAGAGATGGACGAAAAGGCTCACAGCGCCTTGCAATTGTCACTATCCGACAATGTGCTTCGTGAAGTTGCCGATGAGGAAACGGCGGCGGGGTTGTGGTCAAAGCTCGAAAGTCTCTACTTGAAGAAATCTCTTACTACGAGATTATACCTGAAGCAGCGGCTATACACATTGAAGATGAAAGAAGGTACACCCATTCAAGAACACCTTGATGAATTTAATAAAATTGTCATGGATATGAAAAACCTGGATCTAAAGCTTGATGATGAAGACCAGGCTCTCATTGTGTTATGTTCCTTGCCTAACTCTTATGAAAACTTTGTTAACTCTATGTTGTATGGAAGAGAATCCATAAGTCTTGAGGATGTGAAGGCCTCTTTGAACTCTGCTGAGTTGAGAACAAAGTTGAATGAGAGAGGTACCGATAAGCAGGCTGATGGTCTGCTAGCCAGAGGTAGAATGAAGACCAGAGAGGGTGATAAAGGGCAATCCAGAAATCGTTCGAAGTCCAGATCAGTCCAAAACAAGAAACATGTGGAGTGTTTCTACTGTCACAAGAAAGGGCATTACAAGTCAGAATGTTATGCTCTAAAGAAGAAAGACAACCAGCGTGGTGAAACCTCAAATTCAGCTAATACGGCAAAGGCTGATACTGCCGTTGTTGCTGAGACAGTTCTTACAGTATGTCCCTTGGATGGCCGTTCCGATAAAGAATGGATCTTGGATACATGTGCGTCTTTTCATATGTGTCCAAATAAAAATTGGTTCACTACTTACAGATCTATAAGTGGTGGATCAGTTTTGATGGGCAACAATGCAGTTTGCAAGGCAGTTGGCATTGGTACAGTTCGCATTCGGTGTCATGATGGGATAGTGAGAACTTTATCAGATGTAAGGCACATCCCGGACTTAAAGAAAAATTTGATTTCTTTGAGTTCTTTGGATTCTATTGGGTGTTCTTACACTGGCAAAGGTGGAGCTCTTAGAGTTACTAAGGGTTTATTGGTTGTGATGAAAGGTAGTAAGGTGAACAATCTTTATGTTCTCCAAAGCAGTACGATGACAGGCTCTGCAGGTGTGTCTTCTGATGCTGATAGAGACACTACTCAGTTGTGGCACATGTGCTTAGGCCACATGAGTGAGAAGGGAATGACTATTTTGAGTAAACGTGGCTTACTCTGTGGTGATCATACATCATCACTGGATTTCTGTGAGCATTGTGTGTTTGGGAAGCAAACTCGGGTCAGCTTCTCGACTGGCTCACATACGACGAAGGACACTCTCGACTACATCCATTCAGATTTATGGGGACCTGCTCAGGTTCCATCCAAAGGTGGTGCTCTTTATTTTCTAACGTTTATTGATGATTTTTCCAGGAAAGTTTGGGTTTACTTTCTCAGGCGCAAAAGCGAGGTGTTCGAAACTTTCAAGAAGTGGAAAGTACTTGTTGAGAATCAAACTGGAAAGAAGATTAAATGTCTCCGAACAGATAATGGCTTAGAGTTCTGCAGTGGTGAGTTTAATCAGTTCTGCTCAAATTCTGGGATCGTACGACATCACACGGTCAGACACACTCCTCAGCAAAACGGGGTGGCAGAACGCATGAATAGAACGTTGATGGAGAGAGCTAGGTGTATGCTCTCAAACTCTGGCTTGGATAAAGGCTTCTGGGCTGAAGCTGTTAACACAGCTTGTTACTTGGTGAATCGGTCTCCTTCTACAGCCATTGAACACAAGACTCCAAATGAGGTATGGTCAGGTAAACCAAATGACTATTCAAATTTAAAGGTATTTGGATGCCCTGCTTACTATCATGTTAGAGAGGGTAAGCTTGAGCCTAGAGCTAAGAAATGCATATTTATTGGTTATGCTGATGGCGTTAAAGGCTATCGTTTGTGGAGTCTTGAACCTGATTCTCCTAAATTCATTATTAGTAGAGATGTTACTTTTAATGAAAGATATATGCTTGATCGTGGGGAGGTTTCTATTGAGTCTACAGGAAATGTAGAGAAGACCATGGATAAGGTGGAGCTTCAGGTGGAGCTCGAGGGAGAGACGTCTCAAAAGTCGTCTATAAAATTTGCTCCTACAGCTGTAGAAGTACAACATGATTCAGGCTCAGATGCTGATGATGCTGAGACTGAAGAACCTTATTCCATAGCCACTGGAAGAGAGAGGAGACAGATCAAACCTCCTCAAAGATATGCACATGCTGAATTAGTGGCGTATGCTCTCACGACAGCTGAAGAGATGAGTATTCAAGAGCCATCAAACTTTACTGAAGCTGTCTCATGCGGAGAATCTGGACGTTGGGCCACAGCTATGACAGAAGAACTCGAGTCACTCTACAAGAATCAGACTTGGGATTTGGTGCAATTACCTAAGGGTAAAAGGGCAATTGGATGCAAGTGGATTTTCAAGAAGAAAGAAGGGATCCCAGGGGTTGAAGATGCTAGATTCAAAGCACGGTTGGTGGCTAAGGGTTATAGACAAAAGGAGGGAATTGACTATGATGAAGTGTTCTCTCCGGTTGTAAAGCATACCTCCATCCGTGTATTGCTTGCCATGGTTGCTCTATTTGATCTGGAGCTTGAGCAGCTTGATGTGAAGACTGCATTTTTACATGGCGAACTTGAGGAGACTATCTACATGTCTCAGCCAGAGGGATACTTCGTAGAAGGTAAAGAAGATCAAGTTTGCAGATTGAAGAAATCTTTGTACGGCCTGAAGCAATCTCCCAGACAGTGGTACAAGAGGTTTGATAATTTTATGCTTAGTCATGGGTACTCAAGAAGTACTTATGATAGTTGTGTGTACTACATGCATCTAGGAGATGATTCTTTTATTTATCTTCTATTATATGTCGATGACATGCTTATTGCTGCTAAGAACATGTCGCAGATTCTTATTTTGAAGAAACAACTCAGTGATGAGTTTGAGATGAAAGATCTTGGTGCAGCAAAGAAGATCTTAGGTATGGAGATCAGGAGGGACAGGAAAGCTGGAACTTTATATCTCTCACAGAAGAGTTATATTGAAAAGGTGCTTGAACGCTTTGGGATGAAGAAGGCCAAGCCCGTTACGACTCCTTTGGCTCCTCACTTTAGGCTCTCGGCTTCAGATTCACCTACAAGTGAGAACGAGAAGAAGGAGATGTCCCGAGTTCCATACTCCAATGCAGTGGGTAGCATAATGTATGCTATGATTTGCACTCGTCCAGACATTGCCCAGGCAGTCAGTGTAGTGAGC